ATAAAGAAATTTTAATCAAACAAATGTCTACATTCTGCAGACTAAATTTTAAAATAAGAGAAAAGAAATTGAAATGAAAAAAATTTGTTATTTGTTTACACTCCAATTTTTTTATAATGCTGTAAAATTCTAATGTATAGTATCTTTTATACAATACATGATGAATATTTATATACAACACGAATGTCTTGTTAATATAATTTATTACCTGTACGTAAACTTAACATTTATTTATTACTAGAGATCATCTAAGGAAAGAAATTGAAAACAATCGGCCGTGAAAGGACGTTCTTGTAAACTGATCTAAAAGCAAATTGATCGCAGGTTCTCCAACAAAACGAAGTCAATATATAATTTGATATTAAAAAAGTAAAATAAAAATGCAACTGTTGCCAATAAAGTTGTTTTGAGCGACCAAAGAATATTATGCTAAAAAATATATATTCTTTGCAAAATAATAGGTCATTTTGCACTTGCATTTTTATTCTTATATTATATTTACTTGTTTATCTTCTCTTCGATATAGCGTTAAAAAAGGGCTAATAGAACTTTGTTTTACTTTATTTCAATTACTTTTGTTACACTTTACGTGTATCTGTTTCAAATAGATATTCTTCGTTGCTGTTCATTTTACTTAACTCTTTATATTTGCATACGTGTTCCCACTATACATATAATTTGTTTCAATAAACTACAATGTATCATTTTTATCCAGTCAATCTTTCACTCCCTTCTCTGTAAAATATTTTCGCCTCTTACTGTACCTTAAACAGGCAGCTACGAAAAATATACAAATATGCAGGCATAATCGTAGCTTTACGATCTCGGAAAATGACGAGAAGTTGATGGCTCAGAAGTTAAAATACTTGTTTTCATCTTAAGTGCTAAACACTTTGAGACTCGTAATTTTCCGGTTCGTTTATCATTTTAACACTTTAAAACGCAATATTTTATAAATATTTAGTATAGAGTGAAAAATACATAAGAGGCAGTGTGGGCAGATAAAATAAAAATATGAAATAATCTTTCTAGCTTTAGCGTAAAATATTCTCTTTTAAAATTAATTTTGTAATAAGTATCATCTAGTTGTTTAACACGTTGTATGCCACAGTTATTACTCTTGGGACAATGTCATGATGAACTACAATCGTTTAGGTTTTTGTTTTAAAGTGTGCAAGTCAACGTGTAAATACTTATATTGTTAATATAATTATGATATATGAACTATTATAGATGATCTATTACGATTATTACTATATTACTATTTGTATTTGCAAAAGGTTAAATGTTTAAAAATTTAATGTTTCTTCGTCGAATTTAATGACGCCGATCGTCTGTGATCATCATGGCAATCAACGTGTTAAGCATTGTACCAGCATTTACATAATTTTTACATTCACATCCAAGTAATTGCATATCGCGACTCTTCACGCAATCAAAATTATACAAACTGAAATGATGTCGTATAACAGCCTTTCTATTATTTTCACTTCAAACTTTTAACTTCATGGTTCACTGACATGAAAAGTTATATGTATTTTTATGTCTGATTTGAAAAATTAAATATTAGGTTACACGAAAATTAAAGCAGGTATTCTGTTTGTATTACATTTAACCATTTCTTAAACAATAAAATATCACGAAAAATATATAAAGTTATACTTCATTTTACAGCTTATTTTTTGCACTTTTATTCTACCATATTCATTCTAAATGCCAATTGTATTTTGGTCAAATTTCAGGTGAGTGAAGAAAAGGTGTCCAAACAAGAACTTCGACTTTACTTGCAAGAGTTTAAACTCGGCCGCAGTGTAGCCCAAACGGCTCGAAACATCAACAAAGTTAGGGCTCAAGGCACTGAATGTACTGTTCAACGTTGGTTTCAAAAATTCCGTCGTGGTGAATTTAGCCTCAAAAAGAAGGAGAGTCGCGAATGCCCCCTGCTATTAACGTGACGAAAAAAAATTAATAAACTTACTTTTCTTTGGCAAAAATGCATAGTATTCTAAAGGTGCATACTTTGAATAAAAAAGTTCATTTTCAGCCGAGATATGTAATTTTATAGATAAATATTGAAAACTTCCATGAATTTCGGGACAACATAATAGTGCCTCTATTTTTATTTTTGGTTGCTTCAGTGCAGTCACACAACGCCACTCCATTTCAGGACTGCGAAACAAAGAAGGAAATTTAGAATAATTCACTTCTGTGATTCCGTCTCTGATTTAAAACCTAACATTACCTTCACCTTCATTGTTAATCGCTTTAATACCGTCACTGACGCTACCACGTTTCATGTTTGTGGGTTCACAGAAGGAAGTTCAAAACGATGGACTCGTATAAATTGCAAGACCACGGCGAAAACAGTAAATTCGGGTGGCAGATCAAAGAGACAACAAAGTTATGCCGCAGCGAGAGCAAAACGGGTGACTCGTCGGTGGTACGGAGGAGAATGGGGGATAAAGGAAGTTCTGCGGAAAGGAAGTCAAATAATACGATGAATAGAAGAAAACCCGGCAAAGGCGAGGGAAGGAAAATTGTAGAGCGAACTTAAAGAAGAGATAAGAAATTATTCGAAAGATACGCACAGGATGAGGGGGCTAAAGTGGATGGGAGGTGGGAGACGGTAAAAAGTAGGGAGGGCGCGGATACGCAGAATGGATATTGAAAGAAAGTAGGGCTCACAGCGAAAGAAATAGAAAGCGGAGAAATGGGAACGTTAGCGAGAGACAGCTTCCTGTTGGTCAGCGAAGGGAACGCGACTGAGAGCAAAGAGAAAACACAACGTAACAAGAGAACTTTGGAAGTAATTAGTTCAAAAGAAATTCCAAGTGGAACGGGATAAATGTAATGTGGGGAGAAACGTCGGGGGAAAAACGAGAAAACCCGTAAAGGGATCTACGTCACTGGCTACACTGTGACGTGGATATGGTACGTTTCTTTTATTTGTACTTCGGAGTATCGTATAAACTGCTCGATATTTGTGAGGTACATCGAAAGAGAAATGTATACTTCAGACGACGTAGTAAACATCGTCATTACGTCGGTCACGAGACTGAACAGTTCAAAGTATCGTTTATCATTTAAAAAAAACAAAGTCTACGAATCTTGGTTTCTCAATCAAAATATAGACTCCGACATCCATTGCATAGTATTTTGTTATACATATGAGACAGATGGAATTTTCTATAAAATTTCAATGGTTTAAAAATATACATATCTATCATACCCGGAATATACTTATGGTGCACCTAAATTTCATAATAATTTTAATAATTTCTGAAGATTAATCTTATAAAAAGAACAGAGATTTTACCCAAGTGGAGGATCTACAAGTTTTTAGATTTCACAAGGCCCAGGGACTCAACCATCATTAAAGCGGTGTTCAATACTTGTATTAGGTTAGTAGAGAATAAATGGCTGATCACCAGTCATATTTGTACAATAATAATGCAGCTCAATACGTAAGGTGCTCGGCTAGTGGTGTCAGAAACTTTAAGGAGTGATTCTATACATTAAAATAAAATGAAAATCAAGAATTACGAAATTGTGTTAAAGGCTTTGTTTTCAAGTTATTAATAGTTAAATATACGGGCCAGAAACGCCTGAAACCAGGCAATCTACGTGCAAACGGTAAGTGTAGGGCACGACAGTGCCAGCACGTACGCTGGCGTTGCCTATAGTAAATACATTTTTACCTCGTAACTAAAAAAGTGATGTGTAACACCTGCACTCGAGCCTGGTCTATCTTCTTGCGACACTTTAACTTGTAGAGGACGAGAAGCTTATTTTTAGACTCCAGAGGGGTCGTTTATGTTTCGTAGCATAACAGTATGAAAAATATATAAAAGTTCCAACTCGGAAATATAAAAGGTCACGAAAAACCAGCTAGTCCTCTAAAGGTTAAAAAAAGTACTCACAAAACGTTGCACAATATTAAACCTGGTTACTCGTTCAAATTCACAGCTCATCCACAGAATAAACACTGAATAAACTAACTTAAACAAAACCAAAACACACTATAATAAAGAAATGGAATTAATACTACAAAAAAAAATTCATGGGATACTTCGCGTCGACTAGATGTCTTCGCATTGACAATTGACACTGAACTAAGGAAACGTTACTTGAATTCCCCAGAGGACAGAAGAGTAATAAAAATATATAAACAGTGAGTTGATATAGTACTACCTGTTCTTGGAAAGGGTCGTCAACGGTCGCAAATTACCTGAAGATGTTGGGATTATAGCAAGGAAAAGGTATATATCACATGTTTGGCTAACAATAAGAAATAAGGGCGTATTTTTTTTGCAGCGGGACGCGAGTGTACGTGCAGTAGCTATTGTTCCCTACATTTACCACGTGGACGCAGATTGCCTGGTTTTAGGCGTTCCTTATCAGAATTTTTAAGCGTTAAAAACCCAAAAATAGAGAGCCTCCAACACGATTTCGTAATTATTAACTATCTTTTATTTTGACATGTAGAATTATCTCTGAAAGTTTCTGATACAAATAGTCGAATACCCTGTATACATAGGTTTCCATACACAGTTAAATGCGCATGAAAGTTCATGTTAATTCTACGAAATGTAATCTTCATCGTTGTACTAAAACAATCGAAGGGGTTCTAAACATTTTACAAACCGAGATAGGTCGGCGTACGCTGAAAAGAAGTCTGGGTATCTCGACTCAAGCGTCGCCATTTTGTAAGAAAAAAAAACAAGCAAAAACTACGACCTTTTCCGTTAAAAGTTGTAGAATAAAAGGCTTTATATCCAATTCTTCTGTTTATTTCATTATCTTCCCCAAAAAATTGCCGAAATGACTATGACTTTGACTCATCCAAGATGGCCTAACCCCTTAAGTAGATGGTTATTTATTTCCCACCTGACATACTCGTATACAGTTCCTACCGTGTTTGCCAAAGCACAATTATAAAAGAAATAGGTTGAAAGTAACCATGCGTTTGTCACTTAAGAGAAAACAAAAAATGCACTCACCAGGCGTGATATTCGGGAACGGTTGTCCGGGTAACGAAGGCGGATGCTCGTCTTCTGGGGAGCGTTCCGATGCGTAACCTTGATCCTGCGGTTCTCCGCCGGCCAGTTTGCTCAATTTAAGATCGATACATTTGTTAAGTTGTTGCCGATGCCTGACCAGCTCGCAATCGGGTTTGTGGACGATCTGCATCAGCAAATCGCCGTCGGTCCCGTCGGGAATAGAGGGTTGGGAGGACGAGGAGTTGATATCCGCCGTATTTCCACTGTTTCTGGTGTCCTGCTTTCGTTTCGGCAACGTGCCCACCAGGTCAAGATCCGAATTTCGATGACATCTGTCCTCCACGGACGAGCCCCGGGCGTATCTTCTCGACGTATCGCTGGAAACCGCGTCGGTGCTACGATTTCGTCTCACGGAGTCGAAGTTCCCGTGGCGACACCTTACCAGGTCAAGGTCGCTTTGCTGATATCTGCCAGGAAATAGAGTTTTCACCATTAAACACCGGTCGTAATGGGTAGACTGCGGGAATTTGGGTAAATTCTCAACTTTTAGTATTAGGCAGAGATGGGCAAATTCGTTATCTAGATAAACGGTTTCGAATAACGAATAAAACATAAAAAAAAGTATTTCGTAATTTTTAATTGTTTAAACGTGGAAATTTCAATTTTTATAATAAAATAATACTTCTTTATGAATGAATCGACATTTGTCGAACAAAATGTGTTGCAAGTTAAGAGATGTTTGTATATATATTTCAACTCCAGATAAATAATAGAATATTAGTTGCAAAAAGCTACGTTGACTCTTCTTTCTATTTATATCATTGTCATTACAGAGATGTGAACTTTGAAAGTATATGAACTGGATGCACAAATAATCAACGCATTATTTTTTAAGATATCATTTTTTAAACTCCCACATTTTATTATTTCATTTAATAATTCTAAGTTCGTATTGAATGCAGTGTTTGAGACAGTCGTACTACCGAAATTTTCCTTTAACTTAATAATATAGTTCGATTAAAAAGTAATGAATGAAAATAATTGTTAGTTTGTAAATAAATTATAACTAGAATACTTCGTTAAATATTTCGATTGTTTTTTATTGTGTTTTTTATTGATTCGATTACTTTTTATTGTAAATTAATAAAATACATACCTCCAAGGATCATTTTCGTCTATGGAATCTTGCGATCGATGTTTTACGAGATCCAAGGCTCCAGTTGGTCCTCCGTCCGAGAAGTGGACGCCCAACGATCGTTTTTTATGTGGCAATGTTCCACCGAGATTCCCGGTCATAGTATCAGTCATTATATTATTATTTTCTTTCGGATCGTCGTCTAGCACGTCCTTGTCGTCGAGATGATTGGGCAACGAGCCACAGAATTTGTATCTGCAACAGACGATTATTACTTGTGAATATGCTGCGGTGTCAGATACGATTAATGTCGCTTTAATACTACTGATTTTTCAAGGATATATCCGAAAGATTAAAAGAAACAATCAATGCTATTTTCTTCTTCGGTTCCACGTCACATTGACTTCTATACAAGGTCACTATCGACGAAGTTTAGTCTGTATTGCGATGTTTTAAGGTACCTAATTAGATTGTAAAGGTTTGTGTTGTATAGAAAATTTATTGTGTTCCTTAAGTGGTTTTTTAATGTTTTTAAATATTATTTTATTAAAATAGCATTTTTTTAAATACAAGGAAAATGAAAAATTGAAATAAAAATTTGTTTAAATAAAATAAAAATATATAAGATGCTATTTTATTTATTTACAGTAGACGCTGTTTACTGAAACACAGTAAATAAAAAACTTTAATCATGTTTACCTAATAAAATCTTAAATAAAAGAAATCGATTTCTATTTAATACTAGCTTTGAAAAATCAGTCGATAAAAATATGATTTTGCATAAACATCCACAGTCTGGTATAATAATATTCCTGCTTAATATGTCATTTATATTTCTGAAATATAATTTTTAACTCTTGAATAGAATTTGAAATGTAATTTTAAGAAATATATTTGCATATTTATTATATTATTATACATTGTACAAGAATACCTGCTGCATATTTAAAAAAAAATTTAAAGTATTTGGTACTCTACCAATGGTAATTCATGTATCTTTTAATTATTTTTTGTTGTCTAATTAGGAATAAAATTGAAATTAAACGGTGAAATAGTCGGATCTGGCATTGTTTTTTAAATTAAAATGCTGAAATAATCTTTACGCCCTCTTCATTTTTAAAAATGGCAAAGAATTGAAAGAGTACGACTCTTGAATTTCTTGAGAAATAAAGAGTACTTTTGTCAGAATTTAGGGTACTTATTGGTATACCCTGATGAACACTCGGTTTGAATCTACAAAATGATTGGAAAGACTGAAAAGCGTCGTATCTTTTAAAAGTGTCGTAAAATTTATGATCACGTTAAAGAAAGGAAGAAACTGCATTTTGATGGCGGAACGTTACGTTTCCGAGAAAAATGCGGTTATAACATTTTATATATATATATCTATATCCTTAAAAGGATACATGACCTGTCCCACTTTCTTATAATCTTCTGTATAAAATACAGAAATTTACAATTGATTAAAACGATTGCTATATTTCACGTAAAATACGATGACTGCATATCAGTGAATAAGTTACAAGTTAAGTAGAAAATACAAACACATTGAAAATCGTTAAATGTATAAATAAACTTTTTATTTATATAGACATGAATATATTTTAAGGAGAAAAGAAGTTCTCGTAAATGCAATAATTGTATTTATTTCTAAGGTGTACAAAAATATTTATAATTTTTATAAATAACATTATATGCACATTCAATATATTACTTTGGTTTATAAGATACTAAAATTTTCCTTGATAATATCAATGCTTATAACATTTTACAAACATATTTATATTGGAGATTTTACTTATAAAACGTGAAATAAGAAACAATTCTTTAATTTATGTCACTACAGCCTTTAAACCGTATGTAAACGGGACGTGCAAACACCGCAAGAAAATGGATCATTTGTATTTACATAATTTATATGGTTCAATGTTTCTTCGTTTTTCTGGATTAGGTGAACCTGTTTAAGCGAGGATTCTCTTAATATAGGACAGCGTAATGGTGTTCGAGACAGAATTTATGTAGGTACTGCTTCGTAAAACAATTTTATTTACCATCAAGTGCTTAGAACGTCAAAGTACTAGGAAGAGGAGAATAAATTACATTTTCTATTGTGCTCATCTTAAACACAATATTAAAAAATATAAATGTCCAATTTGAAAGATTTATATCTGCAATTTACTCTACGAACAATGTCTGGAAAATGAAAGAAGAACAAAAATTAGACAATAACTTGTCGATCAATATCTAATTATATTACGTTCATTAAATACTGTTAAATAATACTTATGTGAGAATATGATGCGATATATTCTATCTATTTAAGTCGAGATTACAAGTAGTTATTAATGACTACTCAGGACAGCCGATTAACACACATTTTGGTAATTCTTTCATAAAGAACTCTTCACCATTCATGCCAGTGGAATATTTCAGTGATCGACTAACATTTTCTATATTATTCTTTAAACATATTTTTATTTGTACCAATGGGTTTCTTTAAATTTTCTTTGTGTCCCCTACGACATGACCTAAAACCAAGGCGCCCAACATCGCGTGTACTGTCGTCACAGATCCGTATCCTACGCGTATAAAACACTAATAACAATAATACTAACTTAAGAGCACGTGAGAAAAACGACGAGGGTCCATTTTTTTCCCATTATGATATTTGAATATACATGAATATATTGTTTATTGTAAAATTTGTTCTTCTATGTAGAAATGGAAAAGATGAAAGTTCCAAGTTATTGCCATTTACTAATAGAGTTTCGTCTATTTTCCCAGGCAGCTACAGACATATGTATGTTAATTAATTTGCTTCAAATAATTTTAATATTAATACAATATTGTTATTTTAAAGTCATGTCATGGGATATCGTATCAGTTAAATATTACTAGGATCAACAGAAAAACTTGTATAATGTTCAGTTATAGGTCCTCAATGTTTAAATTTCGTTTTACTTAAACATAACCTTACTTTTCAAATCTTAATTTCATTTTTTGAAATTTCGTACTTTATGAATACATACGCGAATAAATTAACGAATATTATTCTTTATAACCCATTAATTATTCGAGTATTTGTATTGAATACATAATATTTTATGTTTTCAGTGTACACTTAATTCTGTTTTCACGTGATCTTAATTTAACACCCTGTATACACAGAATTTAATGTATTTCAAAATGTACCTAAATTTATCAATTTTATACAAATTTCGAAGTAGGTGATTAAGCCTGTTTTCGTTATTCATTATAAACGGAACGGTCGCGTAATTGAACGGATTGTGAATCCTAGTTTCACTTTGTATTACCATATCGTCCAAATGTAACACGATCTGTCGGTCGTGATGCGCGGTTTACGGCAAATTATGTCGAAATCGTTCGCGCCGTTTGCACGTGACACCGTTAGCGGCATTACGTTTGTCGTCGGGTGCGGGAACACGTGTACGTCCAACATTTGCAATTTATGGAAACAAATTGTAGGCGAAATGCTTTAATCGGACGTGGACATAGATTTCATTCCGATTCAATTATTGTTATCGTTCTCTTATGATTAAACTTTCAATTGAACAGATGTAACACAAAAATTCGGTTAATACGATGCACATTCATAAAGTATCGTCCGGTTAGCAAAGTTGAAAAAAAAAATAGTAAAACGAAAATAAATTTCAATAGAAATAGAATTCAAGTATTGAGCATTGTTACATATACAATAGAAACTAACAAAACTTTAATTTCTTTCCAAATATTTCAAAACGGTTTGTTAATGAAAGGTAAGAAAAATTGGGGTTATCTATGTATAATAACATTGCAATGGGCATTATTACGTATAGCCGTGATAAAAGTAAAAAAGTTGTCAAATGGCAACGAATGAAAAACAGTATTACAGTAAATCCTCGGTGAGTGTTCGAAGTCTCCTCGGTACTGAACATTAAGTATTTTTAAATATTATTGCCTTCAGAATTCCAAACTCTATCACTGTGCTAAACCTCATTAAAACGTCAGCCTTACACTTGTGGACCTCTCCTTGTCAGTGCCGAGGAGACTTCTAACACTCATCGAGGATTTACTATAGACGCTAGACCAGTGTTTCCCAACCTTTTTTGTGCAATGCCCCACCTTAGCCTTTCTAAAATTCTTATGCCCCCCCTATGTAACATACATAATTTTTAATATTAAAAAATTGAATTGTTCACTTAAGAAACTTAAATGATAGGTTTTAGGAAGAAATCACTAGGTTGTTGTTAAGGAAACACAGTAAGTAAATTTTCAAAACATATAATGAAAAACTGAAATTCAAATTCCAAATAATTTTAATAAAGATTTTTCTATATTAATTTATTATTTTAATTTAGTGAGATCCTTGCGCTTGATGCTTGCTGTACAGAGATACTATATTAGGTTCCAATTTGGTTAGCTTCAGTCTCAAGTCTCCACGTTGTGTTATATCCAGCCGATTTCTTTTTTTTACCAGTAAATCATTTACAGCACTAAATCCACATTCAGCTAAATATGAAGATGGAAACGGTAGCAATAGTTTTCTTGCACATTTGGTTGAATTTGGGTATTTGATTTCTGTTTCCTCACAAAGCCATGCCATCGCTCCTTTTATATTAAATAAAGTTTTAACTGACTAATCATTTTGCAATTCTGCGAGTTCTTCTTGATACTGCATATTTGATATATCAGACAAATCCACTAACATTGGCTGCATCATCCATGTTGGAAAATCAATTTGTTTTAAATCAGAAAATCTTTCTTTTAAATCAGCCGATAGAATATTCAGATGATTGACAATAACAAGTAAAGCGGCGGCAATTATTTAAGAATTTGCTTTTTTCGTTAAATTTGGCACCGAAATCTAGCATTGCATTTAAATGGCCCGGAGCGAAAGGGTTAAACTCGTGTCGAGTCCATTTTCGAATTGCCCCCCTTAACAATCAAATTGCCCCCCTGTGGGGCGTGGGCCCCACGTTGGGAAACACTGCGCTAGACGGTTGTAAAATGTTGAAATGTTCTTGTGAATCATTTGTATGTCATGTAATATACACAGGAATAGAACAAAATTTCTTTAATAATTTTTAAATAATTTGGGAATGGAAGGATTTAAAAAATCCATCACTTCTATTGAAATACCTTTATACGTATAAGGCTTAACGATAAACATAGCACGGTTGAGCTTACACGGTCAATATTAGTCGTAAATTGAAAATTACGTGGCTAAACGAGCAATTTCATCGTGTAAACAACAG